ATGAACACAAGATTACAAAGGTAACCAATTTTCCACTTCAAGGCATTCTACGCAACAAAAAGATGCAACAGGGCCGGACATCAAAATGGGCGAAGAGAACTCGGTGCTCTCAACCTAGACTTCAAACCAAGAACAAAGAATCAAATCTCAAGCATTATCCGACTTCATTGTTTGAATGGATGAAATCGATCAAAAAAGAACCCGAACCAATACTTGATCATTGGAAAATGTATTTTGACGGTTCCCTAAAGTTAGGAGGAGCTGGAGCAGAAGTACTATTCATATCACCAGAAGGGAGACAGTTAAAATATGTGCTACAAATACTTTGGCAGGCAACTAACAATGATGTAGAATACGAAGCATTAATACACGGTCTAAGAGTTGCAAGCTCGCTTGGGATCAAAATACTACTTGTCTACGGTGATTCAGCTGTAGTAATCAATCAAGTCAACAAGGATTGGGATTGTACAAAAGATAATATGGATGCGTCTTCATGCGTAAGTCGAAAATTGGAGAAAAATTTTCAAGGGCTCGAAATCCATCATGTATTAAGAGATTCCAACGTTGCAGCAGATGTGCTAGCCAAATTAGGATCAGATAGAGCAAAAGTACCACCCGGTATATTTGTGGAAGAACTCACACCCCATCCATCAAACAACTCCTAACACGTAAAAAGAGAAGGAGACAACAGATCCAATGGAAATAGATCAAGCGGAAGAACCGCACCCGACCAAGACAAATCATGGTCATACAAAGTGATTGGAGACAAACATACATTGATTTTATCAAAGAGAAGAAACTACCCGAAGACAAAGCAGAAGCAACTCGGGTTGTACGAAGAAGCAAAAACTACGTTCTGTTGGGGGATAAACTATACAAAAGAGCATCATCATCAGGAGTACTGCTTAAATGTGTTCCGACAGATAAAGTAAAGGAAATCTTGGACAAAATCCACTCAGGATGCTGTGGAAATCATGCAGCCTCTAGGACACTAGTCGACAAAGCATTCAGAACCGGTTTCTATTGGCCAACAGCACTCAAAGATGCAGAAGAGCTCGTCAGAACATGCAAGAATTGCCAAATGTTTGATAGGCAATCACATGTGCCGGCTCACAACTTAATATGCATACCGCCGCTTGGCCGTTCTCATCTTTGAAATTTGATCAAGTCGGACCACTCAAAAAAGCAAAAGGAGGCTTCGAATACATATTTGTGGCAATCGACAAATTTACAAAGTGGATTGAATACAAACCTTTGGTCAAATACAGTGCAGAAAAGGCAGTGGAATTCATACAAGACATCATGCATAGGTTCGGCATGCCCAACAGAATAATCACAGATCTTGGTTCACCATTGTAACATCCTAATGGGCCAAAGTGGGCCCAAAATTAATCCAGTATGGGCCGGTGACACTGTAGCAGAACATGGGCCGGTTACTGTAGCACCGCGGAAAAACACTGCGCAACCAGTTAGTACCATACTGGAAACTCTGAGATCGCCGGATCGACTTAAATACCAAGGCCAGGGACGCGTAGTAACCTTCGGTTAACCGTTTTGAACGAAGCGAGGACGAAAGTTCAAGCGGGTTGCTACGCGGGTCGGATCACTCCTAGGAAGAGTGGGCCAGGGTCATGTATGTCGGGACTGGACGTTACAACCATTTACAGCAAGAGAATTCCAATACTGGGTAAGAGATTGTGGGATAGAAATCGACTTTGCATCAGTAGCACACCCGCAGGCCAATGGACAAGTCAAAAGAGCAAATGGACTCATATTACAAGGTTTAAAACCAAGATTATATGAAGATTTGAAAGATTATGGTGGAAAATGGATCGACGAAGTACCAAAAGTAGTATGGGGTCTAAGAACCCAGATCAACAGAGCAACTGGATACTCACCGTTCTTTCTGGTCTACGGATCAGAGACAGTACTACCAGCCGACTTAATATGGCTATCTCCAAGAATAGAACAATATGAAGAAGGCGAAGCAGAAGAAACAAGGCGGTTAGAAATTTATTCAATAGAAGAAATAAGAGACAGTGCAATCATACAAAATGCAAGATATCGGCAAGGGTTACGAAGACATTATGACAAAAGTACTCAACCCCGATCAATAAAGCCGGGGGACTCGATTTTACGACTAATCCGAAAGAAAGATGGACGACACAAACTACTCAAATTATGGGAAGGACCCTTCATCATGAAGACAAAGAATGAGGACCCGGCACATACGAGTTGATGACTCCAGATGAAATACCTGTAAAGAACACTTGGCATATCAGTCAGCTCAAAAGATTCTACAATTAAGTACAACAGATTGTACTCAAGTTTCAAGAGAAATAAAACAGAGATTATTCAAGAAGAACAGCTTCAAATATGAGCCCTGTCCAACGGACAGAACCAACCCGTAATTAGGTTGGGGAAAAAGGGGCTTCCCTATTAACAGCCAACCCAGAAACGGTTGCGCTACACGCGCAATCTAGTCACTCAACCATATGGAGATGGTCTGACTGACGGCCAATGGCCAAATAGCTTCTTGGGTAAGGAGACCCAAGCTAGCATTTGTCACTCTACCATAAAGAGATGGTACGATCGACACTACATCCAACAGACGAGAACCAACCCGTAATTAGGTTGGGGAAAAAGGGGCAGCCCTACAAACAGCTCAACCCAGAAATGGTTGTTGCTATACGGGCGCAATCGCTTACCCCAAGAGCTGGTACGATTGCTTACTTACCCTGCAAACAGCCAACCCAGAAACGGTTGTGCTATATGGGTCCGGTCGCCTACCCCAAGAGTGGTACAATCGAATACTTCGCCCAAGAAGCGGCACAAGCACTCCAACAACTCGGTCGCCTACCCCAAGAGTGGTACGATCGACTACTTTGCCCAAGAAGTGGCACAAACACTCCAACAACTCGGTCGCCTACCCCAAGAGTGGTACGATCGACTACTTCGCCCAAGAAGCGGCACAAGCACTCCAATAACTCAGTCGCCTACCCCAAGAGTGGTAAGATCGACTACTTCACCCAAGAAGCGGCACAAGCACTCCAACAACTCGGTCGCCTACCCCAAGAGTGGTACGATCGACTACTTCACCCAAGAAGGGGACTCGGTCGCCTACCCCAAGAGTGGTAAGATCGACTACTTGCCCAAGAAGCGCACAAACACTCCAACAGCTCGTTACGCCTACCCCAAGAGTGGTGCGATCGACTACTTCGCCCAAGAAGTGGCACAAGCACTCCAACAACTCGGTCGCCTACCCCAAGAGTGGTACGATCGACTACTTCACCCAAGAAGCAGCACAAGCACTCCAACAGCTCGGTCACCTACCCCAAGAGTGGTACGATCGACTACTTCACCCAAGAAGCGGCACAAGCACTCCAACAGCTTGGTCGCCTACCCCAAGAGTGGTACGATCAACTACTTCGCCCAGAGAGGGACACAAGCACTCCAACAACTCGGTCGCCTACCCCAAGAGCGGCATGATCGACTACGTTGCCCAAGGAGGGGCACAAACACTCCAACAACTCGATCACCTACCCCAAGAGTGGTACGATCGACTACTTCGCCCAAGAAGCGGCACAAGCACTCCAACAGCTCGGTCGCCTACCCCAAGAGTGGTACGATCGACTACTTCGCCCAAGAAGTGGTACAAGCACTCCAACAGCTCGGTCGCCTACCCCAAGAGTGGTACGATCAACTACTTCGCCCAGAAAGGGACACAAGCACTCCAACAACTCGGTCGCCTACCCCAAGAGCGGCACGATCGACTACGTTGCCCAAGGAGGGGCACAAACACTCCAACAACTCGATCATCTACCCCAAGAGCGGTACAATTGACTACTTCGACCAAAGAGTGGCACAAACACTCCAAAACAACTCGGTCGCCGACCCAAAGAGCGAGCGAAACAAGCTATGGCAAAGCAGAAAAAGCCACAAGGAAAGACAGGGCGAAACTTGTCCATATTATTCAAAGACATCTAAGAAGAAAAGAAAGACAGGACGAAGCCTGCTCACATCTTAAAAATTCAGAGACAGTATATTACAAGGACATCAAAAGAAGGTTGACTTTTCACATCTGTTCAAGAAGACGGAAGAGAAGGAGGAAGTACATTCATTTGATCAAGATTTTGGTCTGATAGACCACTAAGCTATACTTTGGCCTCCTCCCAGTGTCTTGAAAACTCAGCCATTACAGAAGCTTTAGTAATCTGCTCAAAAGGAGCATCAGGGGCAACAACCCAGACATACAAAACCACATTGTTGATGCACCGGTAAAAGCCACCCTTCACAAAATCATAAAACCAGAGAAAAAGCATCGGTAATCCCTGCTCGGCAAAGACCTGAAGGAACAAGAAGAAATTCTCAGAACTCCACCATGAAGTACTCAGAGGCTTATCAATCTCAAGATCACCGATCCTAAGTCTTTTTAGTACTAGCAAGAACATGAAGTCTGACAAAACAACAATTTATACCGAGTTGTTTGCACGAGAGCTAGACAAAGCACTCGAAAACAATTTGTCAGGACAATGATCTACAAATACCGAGTTGTTTGCACGAGAGCCAGACAAAGCACTCGAAGACAGTCTCTCAAGATGATGTTCTACACACACCGAGTTGTTTACATGGCGCAAACGAAAGCTAGACAAAGCACTCCACCTATCACAGAGTCATTTCACGACAAATGGAAACAACTCGTCTACTCAAAGCTATGGATACGTACCACGAAGCAACTGCTCGGAAGAAATCCTAATCACTCACACAATTCGTCTGACGGATAAGTAAAGCAGAGACATCCACACAGAGAAACAAAAGAAGCCACATCAAAAGAAAAGGAAAAGAGAAATTGGGGAAACAAAGTTTATGATGATCATAGAAGAACATGACTACTACATACATCAAATCACCAAGATAAATCTACGACCGGACAATCTGCCTTTCGATATCCTTTACGCCAACATCAAAGCGAGGGCTAATGACAACGCATCCAACCATCATCAGTTCCTCGCTGGAGACCCGCTACCCACAGATTCGACATCGTCGTCATCTTCGACAGCAAGGGCACCCCAGTCGACTTCGTCTTCGGCGGCGAGCGCCTCCCAATCAACCTCATCTTCACTGTCACTACTAAGGATGATCAAATCTGCCCTTGTCGAAGTAGCATCAGCAGCAGAGAGGGGGACAAGAGTGACCACAGAAGTAGCCGAGGGATCCTCCTTCTTCTACAGAGGGACAACTGACGCTGATGTCCCAACAAGGGGAGCCTTCCCCACCACCGGAGGGGCTGGCAATGAAGGCGACGACGAAGACCTTCTGCTCGATGACTCCGCCACGGCCGTCCTCGAAGAGCGAACAAGCGAAGAACGCGACACCTTATGGACACTCTGCCTATGGATGAACTTCTTCGTCATTGTGGCTATGGTGAAACAGTTGCGGAGTGGCCAGTTAAATAGAGACCAAATCGCCATCCCAGGCATGATCCGCTGGGTCTCACCCCTTGGGGCGGATTGCCTAGGGGCTCGCCTGCTGAAGAGTGGGGCTGATTGAGGAACCACACATGTTGCCGAAGGAATCAACGATGAAGTCTAGGCCACTGAAATGGATGGCCTAGAATGGGGAGAGCCTGAGGACAAGTTGGAGCTCTCCCAAGGTGTTAGCAACGAACTCGAGGTTCTCAAAGCAGATGCTTCTGCCTAGGGTGATATGCCAAAGATGAGGATGAAGAATGCCATTGGACTCATTGGTCTTGGAAACACGTGACATGCCCCTGCTTGGTGCATCAACTATCAACGTCATAGCGTCAACTAGCAAATTTATAGTCATGTATATGGCTTTGCATGACTAGCGCTCGAAAACTCAGGATCTATAACTGGTTCAACAATGTATCCTACATCTAGTTTGGTGGTGTTTGTTCATATTCCTAAGCATGTGGGCTCGAATGTTTGTAGTCGACCCTCCTATGGATAGCCTAGGCCTTGTCTTATATAGCTTCTAGGGGAACCCAACATTGAAAGAGGGGGAAAACACTACTACAATAGACTTAACCGAGGTGGGCAAAAAGTATTTCCCAAGGTGGGCATCACAACCGCTTCGGTGAAAAGGTTATGGTTAATTGAAGAGTTACCGAGGTGGTTGTATTGCCCGCCTCGGTTAATGAATTAAAAAAAACAAAAAAGTCAGCGAGCCCGTCGATGAGGCCTGTTGAGCCCATCAATGAGCCCACCGAGCCCATCCGTGCGTGTACCACCGCTGCTCGTCGGATTCGCGCGTGCACCACCGCCACACCAGTGGCGGAGCCAGATCCACCTCACCAGTGCATGATCTGTCGCCACTGAGCTAGATCTGGATCCATCGCGCCCGTGCCGGATCGAGCGCTCCCATGCCAGATACGTCGCTCCGAGCGTGAGCCCGCTGTGCCACCACTGCCTGAGAAGTAGTCCGCCCAGTTTCTAAGGGAGGAGAGAGACGGTGTCACCGCCATCGAAGCCTTGCTCCGACCCCGAGTGCAAGCTGCAACCGCCGTGCTGCTGGATCTGAGTGTCAGAGAGGGAGCCGCATCCGTTGGATCTGAGTGTCGGAGAGGGAGCCGCATCCGCCGCGCCATGCCCGTGAGGTCGCCAGGCCCTCCACCACCGCCGGGCACGCGTAGCCTACTGCCAGGCGCACGCGGGCGCCGCTGCCAGGCACACGTGGACTCCGCTGCTGAACGCGCATAGGCACCGCCGCCGAATGCCACGCCGAGAGAGCAGAGGAGAGAAGAGAGAGAGGCGCCCAGACCCTAACTATGAGAGAGAAGAGAGAGAGGCGCCGGGTGAGTGCTCTGAGAGGCACGAGAGAGAGTGGGGATGAGAAGCCCCCAAATCCTAACTCAGCTATATATATGCATGGAACCCTAGTAACGGGCCTTCTAAGCTTCTATGGGCCTCAGTATTTTTGGAGGCGGGCCTTATAGTGTGCCCGCCTTCGAAAATGCATTTATGGAGGCAATTGTTATAAGATGACTGTCTCCAAAAATAAACCATTTTGGAGGTGGTTGTCTTAAGGCGACCGCCTCAGTAAATCGATTTTGCGAGGCGGATGGTTGTGACCGCCTTGGTTAATAAAAAATGACCACCTCGATTAATCTCAGGCATTAACCAACATAGTTCAAATGCCCACCTGCCTCCGAGCCCCTTTGCCAAATGCCTCGGTTAAGTTTTATCGTAGTAGTGGAAAGAGAGCAGGAAAAAAGAGAAAATTGGATAACTTCTATCCTCCTCCGAGCACGTGTCGTTGTCCTTCGCCCTTATAGGCTTTGTAACACCTCGGTGTTAAGCATGCATTAACATTCTATCTTATGAGCATAATCATCATTTCATTATGAATAAGCATCATTTATGCATTTCATTTCGAAAGAAATGACATATCATTTCATGTGATGTTTAAATTGATTGTAATTCATCATGTTTAAACTAGTGGGAATGCCATGCTCATGTTTGGATGCCATGATTTCTTGGGTTGATCACTAAGATAGCTTATAAACAATCAGGATACAATTTGGAGCCAAGTTTATATTTAAATTCTTGCCAAATTTTGCTTTTAAACTAATTCTTCAAAACTAGGGTTTTGGAATTTTATTTGACTTTAAATCTGTAGTTCAAAATATATTTGGAATTTGACATTGGTCATAAAAGCAAAGTTGTAGAGAATAAAATTTTGAGCAACTTTTATTTTTGGGCCAAAGTTTGAAACTGCTCTGAATTAGTTCAAAATTTTGTTTGAATGAAAAAGGAATTTAAAATAATTTGTAAAATCCCGTTTTTACCTTATTGGGCCGCCGCCTCCTTTCTCGCTCACCCATAAGCCGGGCCTGGCCTCGCTCAGCGCCTCGCCTGGCCAATGAAATGAGCCACGCCTAACCGGCGTCGAGGTCATGACCATGGGCGTGGCCGCCGAACGCCGACGACGGCGTACGGTTGGCACCCCGGTGGGCCCGGCTATGCCACGCGCTCGCCTTCACCTGTCGACTCCGCTGTGCTCCTCCTCACTCTGCTAGTTCGCTCTCCCCTCCGCCAACGCAAGCAAGAACATGGCCTTTCTGCTTTCACCAAGCGCCATCGCCGACGAGGCAGCCTCTGCCGAGCTGCCAGTTCACCTGAGCTCGCTCCATCTCGCCCTAAACACCGCCTCCTCCTCGCGCGCCTCGTGCTCGCCTCGGTAAGCCATGGGAAGCTCCCCTTCCCCGGGAATCCCTCGCCGGAGTCGTGGCCGAGCTCACCGGAGCACTCCGCTCCGTGGACCTCGCCCCTCCGTACTCCCTCTCACTATCGTTTCACGCGCACGAGCACCGCCCGAGCTCGGTGAAGCTCCCACGCCACTTCTCGCGCCCCCTCTCGGCCGGAGATGGCCGGCCGACGGTGAGCCGCACCATCAAGCCACCATGGCCACGCGGGCCAGCTCGCTCTCGAGCTCCTCTAGCCTCGCCACTTGCACTACCGTGTCCGCCTTGGCAAGGTGGTCACGTTGAGGAGGACCTCGTCACGGGGTCACCTCACCGACGACGAGCACCACGGACAACAAGCCTCTCCTCTACCTCGGGGGTCGACGGGTGGGTCCCACTGACCCTCGGGCCCATTGTCATCTCTCTGTGTGTACATGCGTGTTCAAATTGGTGCACCCAGCGTTTTCTTGGTTGTTTTTAAAAGGATTTCTAAAATGATTTCAAAATGGATTAAAAAGCTTGTAAAATGTAGATCTCGAGTTACATGGCTCCAAATTTGTTGAAATAAAATTTATTGTGTTCCTTGTCATCAGATCTACATGATAAAAATATTGCATGTCATTTTTGAGCTACTTTAATGTAGAGCTTTATTTAATTCTTGATATTGCTGATATCTTGTGAAATGTGTAGTAAATTCTATATGTATCAGAAAAATATGATTCCAAATTTGTTAGTCTATTCTTGAGATGTACTTTCAGTGAAAAATATATGTCATGCAGGTTATGTGGAAAAATATGGCTAGGTAGGTTATGTGTATTAATTGCAGATTTCTTGTAAAATTGCTAGGGCTAAAAATATGAATAATACATGTAGGTGAAACTTTTTGGACAGTAATTGTATGCTCTGTAGATCATGGGAAAAATACCAAATATGTTGTTTGACACTTTTCGTAGTACAAAGTATTTTCATGCTTAATTGTCTACCATAGCTTGTCATTTTTGTGTAGGTTGTTATACTTATCTAAATGCAATGAAAATTTTATGGTAGTCTACTTAGAATAGTACTATGCTACTGTAATTTTCTCAGATTTTTATGAGCAGCAGAGATATATGTTTCTGTTATAGCCCTAGTTTAACATGAAATAAACAAATCTCCTTTAACGCGTGATTAGTTAGTAATGTTGGCTTTGATGTATCTTTGAAGCATCTTAGATTGATGTGGTGACTTGGCATGTTAGTACTGTGGTTGCAGTAGTAGTATAGTAGTACATGTTCTTGGATGATGTTGGCTACCTTGTAGAAGGGCTTTACTCTACTATGCCCGATACAGTTAAACATGGTCATCTACATTTCATGCATCATGATCATTACATGTCAGCTCTCCGATGCACCTATGCATTAGCACTTATACATCTGCATCATATAGGATTGCAAGAGGAGTTGCTAGTAGCAGTTCAGGAAGAGCAGACCAGGACAGATCCATAAGAAGTCCAGGCACAGGAGGTGCCAGAGGAAGAGGAGCAAGGAGAGGACTTGCTGGAGTGCGTGGATCATCAACCTAGTTCGTTCGAACGAGGCAAGCCCCAGAGCATTCTAAGTCTCCTACTTTATAAAAGCAATTCTTTCTATATATATGAGTTTATATATTGTTGCATTAAGTTGTAGGAGTTGATTGAAACCGTTGATGCATTTATTACTATCCTTGCCTACCTTATTATCTTTTACCCTGTTAGGTCAGGATCGAATAACTGCTTAGCCTTGCTTAGACCGGTAGCGATCGGTGATACCCGGTCACCTACATTATAGGTGGTTACTGGAAGAGATTGGCTATGGAATGAATGATATCCTAGAATTAACCATATGTGATGGAGAATTGGAGACCGGATGGAATAGTTGGAGGCAACCAGACAGGGTTCTGGGGTGCTATTAGTTTCCGTCTGTGTCGATTAAGGACCGATCGTTGCTCGTCCCTCTTGTCATGTTGAACGCATGCCTCACATTTAGCTGGCCGAATAAAGTACCTTTCGACCGCGAAGCTAGTGGCACTATTCGGGCCAGGATCTACACGAGTGCGTGTATTGGTGCTGATGGGGGTATGACAGGGGCGCAAAGAGTGAGCCCAAGGGCAGGTGTGACCTGATTCCTAGCAGTCAGGCGGTCCCTGGGTACTGCGGCTCCAGATTATCCCGCGGCTACCTGAAAAGTGTCATTT